GATAGCAGCAGATGATGATCCAAGTGCTTGGAGACCTGGAGGAAGCTCCTGGCTTCCAGCATTGGCCAGGCCCAGCCCCAAGCCATTGAGACCAATTGGGGAGTGAAGCACCAGATGAAGGGATGAAAAAGCTCTCTCTCTCTCTCTCTCTCTCTCTCTCTCTAATTCTACCTTTCAAATAAATAAAATAAATTTTTTTAAAGAGTGAAAGATTTCTACAATGAAAATTATAAAACACTGCTGAAAGAAATCATAGTACATTAAAAAATGAAAGATATTTCAGGCTTATAGGTTGGAAGAATCTATATTGTTAAAATGTCCATACTACAGAAATTAATCTATAAATTCAATACAATTCCCCTAGAAATAAAATGACATTATTTCAAAAAATAGAAAATTCAATCTTGTACAACAAAAACAAAGCCGGAAGCATCACAATACCAGATTTCGGGACATATTACAGGGCAGTTATAATCAAACAGCATGGTACTGGTACAGAAACAGATGGATAGACCAATGGAACAGAATTGAAACACCAGAAACCAATCCAAACATCCACAGCCAACTTACATTTTATCAAGGATCTAAAACCAATTCCTGGAGCACAGACAGTCTATTCAATAAATGGTGCTGGGAAAACTGGATTTCCACATGCAGAAGCATGAAGTAAGATCCCTTACACCTTACACAAAAATCCACTCAACATGGATTAAAGATGTAAATTTATGACCCAACGCCATCAAATTATTAGAGAACAATGGAGAAACCCTGCAATATATAGGTACCAGCAAAGACTTCTTGAAAAAGACCCCGGAGGCACAGGCAGTCAAAGCCAAAATTAACAATTGGGATTGCATCAAATTGAGAAGTTTCTGTACTGCAAAAGAAACAGCCAGTAAAGTGAAGAGGCAACTGACAGAATGGGAAAAAATATTTACAAACTATGCAACTGGCAAAGGATTAATAACCAGAATCTACAAAGAGATCAAGAAACTCCACAACAACAAAACAAACAAGCCTCTTAAGAGATGGGCCAAGGACCTCAATAGACATTTTTCAAAAGAGGAAATCCAAATGGCCAACAGGCACATGAAAAAATGTTCAAGATCACTAGCAATCAGGGAAATGCAAATCAAAACCACAATGAGGTTTCACCTCACCCCAGTTAGAATGGCTCACATTCAGAAATCTACCAACAACAGATGCTGGCGAGGATGTGGACAAAAAGGGACACTAACCCACTGTTGGTAGGAATGCAAACTGGTTAAGCCACTATGGAAGTCAGTCTGGAGATTCCTCAGAAACCTGAATATAACCCTACCATATAACCCAGCCATCCCACTCCTTGGAATTTACCCAAAGGAATTTAAATTGGCAAATAAAAGTGCTGTCTGCACCTTAATGTTTACTGCAGCTCAATTCACAATAGCTAAGACCTGTAATCAACCTAAATGCCCATCAACAGTAGACTGGATAAAGAAATTATGGGACATGTACTCTATAGAATCCTAAAATTCTTAAGTCACCACAAAGACCCAGAATAACACAAGTGATCCTGAGCAATAAATAAATAAATCTGGATGCATCGCAATATCAGATATCAAAGCCTATTACAAAGACCTAGTAATTAAATCAGCATAGTACTGGTGTAAAAACCAACATGGAGATAAATGGAATAGAATATAGAAGCCCTAAAGTAATCCATATACATATAGTCAGCTGTTTTTGACAAAGCTTCCAAGAATATAGACTAGAGAAAAGATAGTTGCTTCAATAAACATTGTTGGCAAACCTAGAGATATATACATGTAAGAAAATGAAATTAGGGGCTGATTCTGTGGTGCAGTATGTTAATACCCTGGCCTGAAGCACTGACATCCCATATTGGTGCCAGTTCGAAGCCTGGCTGCTCCACTTCCTATCCAGCTCTCTGCTATGGCCTGAGAAAGCAGTGGAAGATGGCCCAAGTCCTTGGGCTCCTGCACCCATGTGGGAGACAAGGAAGAATCACCCAGCTCCTGGCTTCGGATCAGCACAGCTCTGGCCATTGTGGCCAGTTGGGGAGTGACCAATCAGATGGAAGACCTCTCTCTCTCTGCCTCTCCTCTCTCTGTGTAACTCTAACTTTCAAATAAATAAATAAATATTTAAAAAAAAAGAAAATGAAATTAGATCCCTAGTTTTCACCTTATATAAAACCAACTCAAGGTGAAAAATTACCTAAATGCAAGTCTTACAACTATGAAATTGTTGGAAAAAAATATAGATGAAACACTTTAAGACACTGTTGTAGGCAGATTTTTTTGAATAAGACTCAAAAACAGAGGTAACTAGAGAAAAACTAGATAAATGGAATTATATCAAACTAAGAAACTTCTACAATGCAAAGCAAACAATTAACAAAGTAAAGAGACATTTGCAAGCTACTTATCCAACAAAAGGAATGAAGTCACTCCAAAACCCAACCACAAAAACCAATCAGGTAAGATATGGGAAACACACTGGGATATAGTTCTCAAAAAAAAAAAAAAAAAAAAAGGAAATACAAGTGGCCAACAAACATGAAAAAAATGCTCTATATCACCACCCTTAAGAGAAATGCAAATCAAAGCCATAAGGAGATATCACCTCACCCTTACTAGAATGGGTATTATCAAAAAGACAGAAGGTAAAAAATACTAGCAAGATGGGGGGAAAAAGCAACTTTTACATGCTGCTAATGGGAATGCAAATCAGTAGAGCCACTATAGAAAACAGTGTGGATATTTTCTAAAAATCCTGGACATTGAACCACCATATAACCCAGCAATCCTACTAGTGGACATATATCCAAAACTCTTGAAATCATATCAAAACATGCCCACATGCCATGTTTATTGTACTAGTTACAATAGTTAAGACATGGGTCAAAACACTTGTCTATCAACAGATGAATGGATAAAAATATGTGGCATAGATACACAATGAAATGTTATTACCCTTAAAAACAATTAAATCCTTTATTTACAGCAAAATGGATGAGCCAGATGACATCATATTAATTGAAATAAGCCAGATATAGAAAGATAAATAACACACCTTCTCCCTTACGAATAGAAGTTTACAAAATCCAATCTGAACATAGAATAATAATCACTGTAGCTTGGGCAGGGTAGAGCAGATAAAGGGAGTTTGGATAACAGGTTCCAAATCAGACTTAGGTAGAAGGAATAAGTTCCTAGTGTCACACAGCATAGTGGGTTAACTAAGACCACAATGACTTATTAAATATTTCCTGAATAAATAGAAGAGAGGATCTCCAAGCACGTGTGAGATCCCCCGAAATATCTGTATGAGCTCAGTTGCATTATTAGCAGGTAAGGAAGAAACAAAGAGGCTTAAGCTGTCATTACTAGCCTTGCCCAGCTTTTAAATAATGATGATGGATTGAATTATTTATACTCCAATTACTCATCACAGAAAATTGTATAATTATATTTCATAATTAGGCAGTCCATATACTCCAAAGCTCACATATTTTCCACATCTGTTCAAGATCTCCACAACCCAGGTAGAGAGCCTCTTTGAGAATATTAAAGATAATAAACTCCATGAAACAGACTATTGTTTTGAAAATGATAAATATGAGAGGTTTTTTAAACACAAGCAATTTTCATAAAAGCAGTCATTTTACAAAGCAATAGAAAGGACAGAATATCTGTACACCATCTGTCCTGGTGCTTATATTAAGAACATTACTCCAAGAAATACTTCAACAATTCTGCTTACATCATTTTCCCTCATGAAAGAAATAATGTTCTTTCTTTAAATATTTCTTCTTAAAAGGCCTTCCTTCTTAGGAAAATTTCCAGTGGTTTCACACAGCTGCACTGAAGAAGCTCAAATGAGTCAATGCTTTGGGCCAATCTTAGCTAAATCCCGTAATTGTCTTCCTCTTGAATTATAATTTGACATTGGCTCCATAACTCTCCAGGCATGGAGGGTATCTCTGTTTCTTTATTCATATATTTTTATTTCTTTCCTACCACCGCAAAAATCTTTGAGTGTCTTATAACTTTAATTCCAGATGATAGTAAGATTAGTCTGTTATTGAAGTTACTGCTACAGGCAGAAGGACAGACCACAGCATAGTGAGAATGCCCACTATCACCCAGCTTTCAGAATAGAGTCAGTGGTTATAATTCTTCAGTAGACACAATTTTATTATAACCTAAATAGTAGACCAGATGGGAGGGGGCAAAGGAATCTGGAGGTGATTGTGAAACTCCTGAAGTCCAATGGAATTTTTCATTCAGAAAAACTCAGTAGGTTCCTTACAAAAACTGAGCATTTTCTTGATGTAATATGAGAAGATGGCACATTAAAAAATATATCTGAGAGGTCAAAAATCTTAAAATACAGTGACACTAAAAATCTATCGTCACACAAGTGCATGGGACCTAGGAAGAGAGCAGACATTTTTGTATCCCACCATCTGCAATTCTGAAAATCACATGCTGAAGGTAGCACTATTAACCATCTACTAAGTGTGGCAAGAAATTAGATCGCTAAGTTCTAAAGTTCAGTTGCATGTCCTCCTTTATATTTGGCCAAATATTTACATCTGTTTTCCAGTTCTACTGCTGCCCTCTGTCTATCAGTATCCCATTCAGATGTCTATGCTTAGGAGGGAGGTATGGCAACATAAGCTGTGTAGTAGGGGAAGCACACAAAATGAATAATTTCTCAGAACATGACACATTCTGGCAAACAACTTACCATCTTACTAGTCTTACTGGTTTATTATCGACTGTTCTGCTCTTGTCTATCAGGAAGATGCCAATAGTCCTACTATCAATGAGACCCAGAACTAATATCTAGTTCAGCAATGCACATTCCATTTAATTTGGAGTTAGGGAATTCAGTTATGTGACAGCAATGATATGTGCAAACATGGGATGCCTATATGGGGAGGGGAAGAGAAAGGGAGAGATAGAGAGGGAGAGTTTTGATTGATTTACCTTCCAACGAGTGAGAACTCGCCCACAACACCAAGGCGCCGCATGGCGCTGAGGAGTCCCCGGACTGTCATGCCTTCGCAGAAACAGACCACTACTCTGGCCTTGGGAAGCCGCTCTCTGAGCTTGCGCAGGAGTCGGTCGAAGCTCTTCTCCCCAGCATTGCTGTAGATTTTGTCTGAATGGGCGATGCAGAGGCCTTCTTGGGCAGCCAGCTCTTTGAAAGCATCCATTCCGCTCTCCCCATAATTCCCTGTCCAGAAACAATCAGCAGATATTCAAGAAAACTGTGGCAGCGTGGACATTTACAAACTGGAATAAGAACTTGTCAGAGGGAATGGAGAAGACTGACTTACTGCATAAATTGAAAATATAACTGGGACTGAGCAAAGATCTGGATGAATTAAGGGGAGTAATCAAATGTGATCAATCAACTCTGAAAATAATGGAAATATCTCTGAGCTAGGGTGTCCACAATGAAACAAATTTTGTGAAATGAAAGATTGTGGCCCTGTTTTATAACCATAACTAACAGTGGATGTCCCAGATCTTAACTACATGAGATCAGCACACTGGGTTAAGGAGGTCAACCCACACAAAGAGAAGGCCTGTTTGAGGGCCTGATTCAGCTTGTTGCCAGGTCAAGAGGCAGACACACATTGTGATAAAAAGCCCTGCAACATTTCCATGAAGGGTGAATAAGCAAAGCAAGTGAACACCTGGTCGAGCCAGAGACAATCAGACCAGAAATAGCTACAGGGCTTAGTCAAAATCTATCATCCTCTATGAAGTGACAAAAGTCTTAGTGATCTGTTCCTTGTATTTTAATTTTCATTCTATGACTTTGTCATTCTTAATAACATATACTTCTAAAAACTAAGAACTGACATAAAGTAATGACCTAAAACAAAACCCATTATCAAATTCCCAATTTCACTATTTCACTGATGAATTTAGCTCCCACCTTAGAAGCCTCTATATCTTGAAGTTGGAGATTTTAACATGCATGTGGATGATGCCTTTAATATCATAAATGTTCTCCCAGTTCTTTGACTTCCTCTTCCCATTGACATTTCCTGTACCAGACCTATTTCCATGGCCACACATTTAACTTTGTCACCATGCTCTCAAAGATGTTTCTGATATCTCTGAATGTGGACATCAAATACTCATTCTCTGTCTCATCTTATTATTCTACCTCATACATAAGAGGTTTTCAATAAGTTCATAAAAAAGAATATTATTTTTAAAATTTTTACAAGGATTTCAAAAAAAAATTTACCTAAATAAACTTATCTTTTAACTCCATTTTTCTACAAATATTTGAAGTATCCTCCTATTCTACTGCTTCTGCTACAGTATTTCTTCAACTTCATAGAAACTTCAAATCATTTAACCTCCATGGTTTTCCTTCAATCCTACATTTTATCTTTCTCAGCCCTGCTTAGATCTCATGTCCTATCTTCATAATCCTTTCTAGAAAAGTCCTTACATCTTTCATAATTCACTGAAAAAAATCATATTGCTATTTAAATTCAAGCCTCCACCATTCCATGTCTATGCCTGAGTACACAAACTTGAATGAAGAAACTTACAACTTTCCTGACCAATTTTAAGATGCACCAGCACACACACCAAAAGAGACACTCAGTAGTACAGGGAAATTATACTGCATCATTTCTGTATGTAAAATTTCTTAGTTTCTAACATTATTATTTCACCCTTACTCTTTTGTCTTCAGATATCCAAACTACTTACCCTACCCCAACATTCCATCTCAACTAGGAGGCTAAGTTCAGGTAAGTACATAGAAATAGTCAGACAAAGACTAATTCAATCACCTGCTCTCAGCCACCCACTACAACATCCATGAACCTTCCTTCATTGACACTAACATTCTCTGGAATTCTTCTTCTTGCACATTTGAAGTGTCCAATTCAAAACAGAATCATCCTCTTCTCACAGACACTAGATACCATCACAGTCTATTCAGGGACTTTCTCCCACAATTGCTTTGTCTTTCTTGGATATTCAGTTTCTCCCTTCGAATCATGTCAAACAACAACAGATTCCTTGGATGCATTGCTCCACTTGAATTACTATTTCATTTACCACTCTTCTTTACAGCAACAATAGTTGCCTAGAACAATGTATTTACTTCTTCATTTCTCATTGTTTCTTTTTTATTAGGGTTTTTAAAAGTTTTAATTACTTTTAACAGATTCAATATAGTTTCTAGATATAATTCAAAGAATACAATAAATATATCCTTTCTCCTTCCCTTCCTACCTTTCTCTTTCTACATTTTTTGTAGTTTTTAAGATAACATTTTAAATATACATTATAGTGGGTACGGATCTGTGGCACAGCAGGTTAACACCCTGGCCTGAAGCACCAGCATCCCACACAGGCACCGGTTCGAGAATCAGCTGCTCCACTTCCTCTCCAGCTCTCTGCTGTGGCCTAGGAAAGCAGTAGAAGATGGCTCAAATCCTTGGGCCTCTGCATCCACATTTATCATTATGCATTTGTAAAGTGTATGTTTATTTTGTAACCTACAACTTTAGTGAGTTGGTTGATCAATTCTAACAGCTTTTCAATGGAATGTTTAGGTTTTTCCATGTACAACATCATGTCATCTGAAAATATGGGTAATTTACTTCCTCTTTCCTAGTTTTGATGCCCTTTATTTCTTTATCCTCTGTAATTTCCATTGTTAACACTTCCAACATTATATTGAATAAGAGTGGACATCTTTTCTTGGTCCAGATATGAGGGGAGATGCTTTCAGCTTTTCTTTATTCAATATGATATTGGCTCTTGGCTTGTCATTCTTTGTTTTTTGTCATTTTTTTTAGAATTGAGATATAGTTGATGTACAAAAATTGCACAAATTATATATATATACATATATATCGATGGATTTAGACATATGCATGCCCATCATATCATAAATCTTCTCTTCCCAAAATCTTCTTTTGTCAAGGTCAACAATGATCTCCCTTTGGCCATACCCCGTGATCTATTCTTTGTCTTCCACTTCATTAAGCACTAATCTGCAATCAACTTTTGGTCATACCACTTATGAATTACTTCATTCTCTTGGTTTTTGTGACAAAGTCCTATCCAGGTTTCCACACTACTCATTAACCATTTCTTGTTGTATTTTCTAGATTTTACTTCTCTACTAAACCTCCAAATATCATCACATCAGTACCTGGTCCTGGGAAACTCTTTTTTTCATCTATACTCTTAGCTTAACTATTTTCATTCAGTTAACTGCATTTTTTTTTTTTTTTTTTTTTTTTTGGCCAGGCAGAGTTAGACAGTGAGAGAGAGACAGAGAGAAAGGTCTTCCTTCCATTGGTTCACTCCCCTAATGGCTGTCATGGCTGGCGCTGCACTGATCCGAAGCCAGGAGCTGGGTACTTCCTCCCAATCTCCTATGCGGGTGCAGGGACCCAAGCACTTGGGCCATCCTCCACTGCCCTCCTGGGCCACAGCAAGAGCTAGAATGGAAGAGAAGCAACTGGGACTAGAACCTGGAGTGCTGGCACTGCAGGCAGAGGATTAGCCAAGTGAGCCAGGGCGCCAGCCAGTTACATGCTTTTAAATACCATTTACATATGACAGTTGAGTTCCAAATATAGATCCTCAGAGTAAACTACCCTTTGGAACAAAAGACTTGTATATTCAATTGCCTACCTAGTATATCCATTTATAGACATCCCAAACTTCACATATATGGAATTTAAATTTTTCTTCATCTGTCTTACAAATGCATTCCTCTGGGACATCTATTACTAAATTGTGCCTTTATCCACCAAGTTGTTCAATTATAAAATGTAGGAACTGCTTTCATTTGTCTTTTTCTCACATTCAAATCCATTCCAGTACTTCCTACCTCTAGAAAATTCTTAATCCATTCTCTTCTATTTTTTAATCTCTGTCACTCTAAACCATATCTTACATTATGTCCCCTAAAAATGGAGTCTGAGATGTAGATCTAAGCTTATCCAAGTAATATACTGAGGAGAAGATGAACAAGAGAAGCAAGAAGGATTGAGACAAAGGCTGAGCAGGACTGTCATCTCAGCTAAAGATTAGCCTGACACTGACCCCGCCAACAATATGCTAGAGCACATTATGTCACAGAGTTAGCCTCAACTTTGAACAAAAGGAGCTCCTTTTGTCAGTCACGGGCTAAGGTCCACAAGAAAGGAGAACTTCCAAGAAGGGAGCAGCCAAGATCCATAAAAGACTATTCTATCATGGCTAGGAGGTTGATGCACCAAGCAGATAAATGAATTCTAAGGGGCCATCCACAACATTGTCTATACCAATAACTATAAGCTCTTACCTAGACAAATGCCCTAGCCTCCTAGTTGGTCTTCTTACTTGCATGTTTGTTCTCAATGATTGTTGACATGCCTAGCAACCAAGGTGATCTATTAAGATAATCAGATTTTGTCACTCATTGCAAAAATCACCAATTGCTTCCCAACATGCTTGGAATGAAACGCCGTCCTCTGTGCTACCAAGTTGTACATGGACTGAGCCTTCTAATTTCTCCTACTTAATCCTTCCTACTTTTCCTCCCTAATCTTCTCTAGCCCTATGGCAATCTCAAACATCCCACTCACCTATGCCTCTATTAACTGTTTCTATCACCAGAAAAGAGTATCTAAGATATTCTTGTGTGTCATATCTCAAGATAAATATCTTCTCTGAAAAGCCTTTTCTGATAAGGTAGCTTTCCTAATTATTCAAAGAAGCCTTCCAGTAAATCCTGGTCACATCCCCTGGTGTTCTCTCTCTCTCTCTCTCTCTCTCTCTATATATATATATATATATATATATCATATATATATATCATATATATCATATGATATATATATATGATATATATATCTGAAATTTGCCTTTTATTTTTCTCTCTCCATGGTGCATAATCTCTAAGACAATACCTTTTTATGACTTTCTATGACATCCATTGATGTATCTTTACTACTTAGGGTAATTCTAGACACCTAAGTAAACAGTATATTTGTTGGAATAGCCTAAGAGAAAAATGAGCAAACAAAAGAAATTTAACAAAAATATTAAAAGTCAGCAACAAGCATATAAAAATAATTAAAATCTCTTAATAACAAGTGAAATTGAAATGAGATTTTTAAACTATCAGAGTGCAAAAATTAGGTATATTAATAATATTCATTGTAGGCAAGTCATAAATACATTCACTTTTGCAAA